AGTGGATGAGGTCCCTATTATCTCTGAAGAGCCAAATTCCTTTCTAATATGTCATTTAATACAGAATCATTCTATTTAAGCCTCATCTGGATTCTGCTCTTAAAGCCTGCAGAGATATTTGGCTTATGACAGTAAAGTAGGCTAAAAATGTAAAGGTGTTAATCAGCAACATCATTCATCTGATTCAGTGTTTGTTAGTTCATGGCTGCTTGTGCTGATATTTGTTTTTATTTTGTTAGGATGTAATCCCTTTCATTTAATCAAGTTAGTTTTATTTGAAATCACTGTTAACAAATGCCTTTCACTTCAACAGTGTAGAGAAGAGTTGGATTTTCAAAAGGATTTATGAAACATAAGACTAATTCTGTCAGGTCATTGTTTTTGTGGAAGACGATCTGTACCCGAGACCATCTCAGCTGCCTTTTCTGCATCCTTTGGGAAGGTAGGGTTTCAGGACATGGATGTTAATTGAGCCTCACTGTCTTATGTGCTATATATACTGCATTTCCCAGGACACACAATCAAAATCCATGTTGGAACAAGATCTGTGTGAATACCAGCACTTCCTGCCCTGTGTAATACTGTTGCGTGTGGGCTACAAGGGAAGAATAACTCATCCTGTTCGTCTCCTCAGTATAGAGCCAGGAACTTCTGAACCACAGAGAGTATCTTCTTCACACACTCATCAGCCTGTTTTAGAAACACCCTGACCCTGCTGGCTGACACTCCTGCTCCTGATAATCCTTCTTTAAGTCGCTGTCCACCTCCAATGAGCTCTTTTTCTCTTAGGAAGACTGAAGACATTCAGTGATTTTACAGCCTTATGTATGGCCCATCGCTTTGCAAACTCAACACTGGATGTACCTGCATCTCCTACATGACTGTGCCACAGGTAACACAGCTGTGCTGTTGTTTCTCAGAGATTCCCTCAATTTAATGCATACATTTTTAATAGATTCCTTAATGTGATTTTCCACATTCCTGACTGAAAAAACATTTAGACTTTTGATGTATGCAAAAAAAACCCATGAATTATAAACTAGAGGGAGTGTTATTTTTGTTTGTCAGTGTCCCCCATATCTATGACTAAGAAGTGAAGTATTTGCAAAATTTAGAGAGGGATCAGAAACATGGCACTGTAACTGAGGTTCATTTGCAGAGGGTAAAGTAGCATATGTTATGAGTCAGTTAATCTCTTTAGGGCTTTATCCAGCACAAATTAGGTTCTGTGGTCACCGAGTCACAGCAGGCTGTGGGCCACTGTAGCTTTGGAGCTTTATTCTGATTCAGCTGCCAAGAAATGAACTACTCTATGGATGTAAAAATTGGCTTATGCTCTGTGAACTCCATCCAGGCGTGTGCAGCTCCGCTGGCTGCTCTTCTCTCCATGCAGAGCTACATGATTTCATGTTCACTTACTCTCCAACCAACTTGATGCTAAGATGCAGCCCCTAGAAAATAAAAAAGGTGCTAATTCGAGCTCATTAGAAATCAGCAAAGGTTGTGAAATAGTTTTAAAAGGTGTGGAAGCCCTCAATGTTTTGACTATTGAAAGCTAGCCAGGATAAATCCACATTGCAGGGATTAACCCTGTGCTGTTGCCGCTGGAAGAAGGAATTGTCTTTTTTTTTTTGTTTTCCTTTTTGTTTGTTGTGGGCTTTTTTGGTGGTTTGCTTTGGTTTTAGGTTGTTTTTTTCACTTAGTTTCCCCAATCTATAACTGGAGATACTTCAGTGCAAATAAAAATGCCTTAGATTTCCTAACTGAACAAAAGGACCTGAGAGGCATAGCTCTAATTACAACTAATGTCTCCAAGAGGCTTGAAAATCTCATCCTTAAATCACTTAACAGAGGCACAGATCAAATCATAGGGAGGTCACAAGTGCTCACATACGGGTGTCAGGTCCTCCCATAGCCAGCTTCCTCCTTCCCTACTGATTCCTTGACTGTGCTAAAGCACACATCATCTCTGCACTACATATTGCACATTCTAAATGAGGCTATAAATATTTGCTTATGTCGCAGCAGTAGTTTTGAGATCATATAAATAATCTTAGCACAAACTGCAACAAAAATCAATTTATTGTTACCACATTTATTTTTGCAATGTTTTTAATTGATGCCATTCATATGAATTAATGCCTACCAAAAACATTGCTTAGTCATTTTTACCTCTAAGCTTGGTGATTTCTTTCAGTGAACTTTCATGAAGAGGAGGTTAATTTGTATATGTTTAAGTATAAAAATCAAAGTATGTCAACAGTTGTGGCATCTTGAACATGGACTCAGTCAAGTTAGGTTAGTGGTTGGACTCGATGATCTCAAAGGACTTTTCCAACCAGAAAATTCTGTGATTCTGTGAACATACAAGACATTACCTGTACATCGATGACAAGAAGCTATTGTCACTGATATAATCACAGCTTGGCCAGGAAGCATTGAAGATGAGGCTGAATCCCACCCTTTTGCAAACAAACACATTGAGAACTCCTAACTTCTGGGCATGTGGAACAAGAGCACAAGAAAAAGTTAAGCTGTTGCTCAGCTGAGCAACCCCTCAGCCCTGCCTGGCCCTCCTAGAGTCAAGAACTTAAAAGCTTTGATGCTGCATGTCTTGGATTACTTCATCCCAGCTCAGGTTCAAGCACGTCTCTTGTTTAGAGCTATTTGGGATTCAAAATCTTGGTGTTTTTTGTGTAAACTAACCTGAGAGAGCTGATCTGGTGGCTGTTCTCAGATCACACTCACACATGCTGGTAGCCCTGACTTCAGCATGAAGCATGGTAGCCACTGTACTTTAGCTCAAAAACACAGCCAGAAGAGGAAGTGCCATTTCCACCTATTTAGATCTTGACACCTTAAATACCTGCTATATTTAGGCACAAAATGAGTACTCAGTATGATTTAGAGCTAGGAAAGACTAAAGTTGTACTTATCAGAAAGAGAAAGGAACAAGGATGTTCTTTGTGCCTCCCTTTGCTGCTTCATTATGTGCCTCCAAGTATTCGTGTTCACTCAGGATGGTATCACAGCTTCCACACATGCATTTCTCATAAATAGCACTGGCAGCAAAGTTTACTGTGCAGGAAAAATGTAAATATAAAAGGGGGATCTTTCTTGACCATTCTTATTATCCAAAGCATGCAGCAGCCTAAAAGGATGTGTTTGGGGAAACTGAATCCCCATAGTGTGAGCCAAAAAAGAAGTCTAAGAGCTTGTTTATGTGTTCCCAACTTGCACTTGCCAAAGTACCTGTTTTATTTGTGTACAATTTTTCAATTATTCTACTCTGTATTCAATGAAAATGGCATTGGACTTGACTGTATGCACACATTTAAAGGTTTTGCTACTACTAAACCTACTGGCCCTAACATCCATTTTGCTTGACTGATAGAAATTTTTGGTCTACTTCTGGTAACCCTTCATGATATTCTTCATTTACAGAAGCTGTAAGCTATACAGAGTTGTCTCAAAACTAATAAAATACCTGAATCAAGTCAAACAAGATTGGGACAATCTCAAACTAAACTGTATTTACTCTTTTTGTTGGGGTTTTCTGTTGTGACTAAGGAGTGCTGGCTTATTTAAGGCACAAATAGTGAAAGCTTTCCAAAGGATTTGCCAAATGTTTAAGACATTATAACTGTCACAAAAACATGCTTTTATTATTATTTTTATGACTAGGTCCCATAAGGGCAACAACTAAGTATCTGTTTTTCAGAAGTTCTCTGAATGTCAGGAAATGTGGGAACCTTTGTCACAGGATGTCCTTGGGAGGCCAGGTGAGGCAAATCCTTAAAGGACTGGACCTTCCAGATGGAGCTGATCTTCTCCTTCTTATGCACGTTATATGCAGCACTTTGGCTTCAAAACAAAAGCAATCTAAATAAAGGCTTTCAGCCTTTGCACTGGATCTGGTGAGCTGCAGATCCATGATGTGAATTGGTTCAGCATTAGATGTTGCATCGTCCCTGCAATTAATATAGTCATAAAAGCAGTGATATAAATATAACACAAAATCATCTGCATGAAACATAAAAAAGCCAAGTAATTCATGAATATCGCTTTTAAATCTAGATTAAACACTGTCTGGGGAAAAAACATTTACTGATTCCCATTCACTTTGCAGTTAAATGAAATTTAGGATAGGATAAAATGTTTCTTATCAATTAAATTTTGCTTTAATCTTTACAGACTTGATAGAGAAGATAAATATGAAATCCCAAAATAGAATGTTAAGTATGCATGAAGAACAGGACACGACAGCAAAACTCAACAGTGCAAGCAGGAGGTTTGGACTAGGTCACCAAAAAGAGATTTTTAGTAGAGAACAACACTGTAACTGGTGGCAGGGATTCCCTGAACACTCTGTCTGGTAGTTAACAGCAATACTGCTAATTGCACTGTGTGATTTCTTAATACAGCTGTTCCTTTCATCACCAGGGTAATAAGGAAGGTTGTGGTGGAATGATTTTTGATTACATGGAACTGGAATTAGAGAGACTGGGAATACAAAGAGTAAAAAAACCTTACTTTTTTTTGATTAGTATTTCATTGGCTCATCTAACTTTAATCCCAAACACATACTTAGAAGGGAAGACAAAAATATCCTCATCAAAATATACTCTTTTTCAGTAGAAAACTAGGGGTTTGATTGAAAAAAAACGATTTTGTGGAATGCATCTTCTTTCCC